CTGCCTTAGTCGTGACCTCCAGCTTCACCAAGATTATGGTTGCCAGGTCCAGAGCATCCCAGACTTGGAGATTTCAGGGCCCAAAACGGAGACCTTTTGTGATGTCATGAGACAGCCCCTGGAGACGGAGGTTAATTGGGAGAGAGGAACAGAGGAGGGCAGACCACCTATGCCAGGCATCCCCAAACTCAGCCCCCCAGATGTTTTGGGACTACAATTCCCATCAGCCCTAACCCCTGGTCCTGTTAGCTAGGGATGATGGGAGTTGTAGTCCCAAAACATCTGGAGGGCCAAGTTTCGGGCTGCCTGGTCTGTGCCATAATTTGCATCCAGTTCCTGCTGGGCTGAAGCTCACAAGCTGCATGCACAGTCTTCTTAATTATATATATTAAAGGGACTCCCCCATCCCCTGGGAGATTCAAACCTTCCACCTTCTACCTAGAGCAGGCATGGCCAAACTTGGCCCTACAATTTTGGGACTACAATTCCCATCATCCCTGACCACCGGTCTTGTTAGCTAGGGATAATGGGAGTTGTAGGTGGAGGGCCAAGTTTGGCCATGCCTGACCTAGAGGGAACCAGGCAAACCTTGAGACTTCTGATCAGACCTGAAGGTCTGGCAACTCTATGCTGTGTACTGAGTTGAATAGGATCCAAAACGCAGCAGTCTGATTGGTCCTAGAACAATAGGATCCGGAATGCAGCAGTCTGATTGGTCCTAGAACAATAGGATCCAGAATGCAGCAGTCTGATTGGTCCGCAGGAGCCACCCATTCCAACTCCGGGTGGAAGTGAATCCGCAACCTGATTGGCCTACAAGAGAATCCCAGAATTAGCCAATCATGTGGGGCCCATTGAGTAAATAATGTATATAAAGCAGACATTTCGGGGGAACTTCCATTCCTCACTACTCTGAGCTGAATAAAGAGCATGAAATCCACACTCGACTCCGAGTATATTTCATCAAGATTGGTGGCAGTGTGGAGATTCTGGGGGTGAGGATCCTGCCCACCCTGCTCCTCCTCCAAAGAGACCCTAGAAACCAGGGCTGCAGAGAGCTGAACTCTGGTGCAATGGCCACATCAATCACTTCCGTCAATCATGGAAGAAATCCACTTTGCGGTGCAGTTTGATGGGCAGGAGTTGGGAGTGGGCACCGTGCACCCCCCCTTCGCGGTAGGTGCCCCCGTCTCCATCCTTTCCCATAACACCCCCTCCCCACGCACTCTTCTTGCGGGCACAGCCTGGCATGGACAGGGTTAAAGCGGACCCGTCCTCAGTGGCATGCAATTTATGATCTGGCGAATCCGTTTTTAATTATTTTTTGCTGTGACAGAGGTGGAAATATCCAACTTCAAATGGCTGGCTTTATTGATATGCTGCTATTTGTGCCTCTGTGGAGGAACAATCCTGTAAAAGCAATAAATTAGAAAACCCTTTTTCTCATTAGAGAGATAGAGAGATGGACGGGAGGGGGGAAGTGGGGGGAGAGCCTTCTTCCTTCCTTTCTCTGAGAGACCTTGTTCCAAGCTCTCTCAGGAGTCCCCTCCCTCTTGCTGAACTCTGTCTGGCAGATATTCCATTTCGACTTGCTATGTAAGTCGTCCACAGACACAAATGGGCGAAAGCTCCGCCCCCTCCGGGTATAACCCTGCCCCCTTCCACAGCTTCATATTGCTTGGGTTCCTTCTGCATTATGACGGGGCTCGATTGGGAAAAGGGTATGGGGCTCCTTTAGCGCAGAGCGGTGGGACCTTGGTACTATTATTACTGTGCAACAGTTAAGAATATGAGAAAAACCTTCTGGATACCACCAACGACTGATTCAGTATGGCATCCTGTTCTCACAGTGATCAACCACAGGCCCATAGAAGCACACAAGCTAGCTTTATTTATTTATTATTGCCTTCGAAACCAAACCATAACATCTTAAAAAGCAGAGACATCACCTTGCCGACAAAGGTCCGTATAGTTAAAGCTATGGTTTTCCTAGCAGTGTTGTAGGGAAGTGGGAGCTGGACCATAAAGAAGGCTGATCGCCGAAGAATGGATGCTTTTGAATTATGGTCTGGAGGAGACACTTGAGAGTCCCATGGACTGCAAGAAGATCAAACCTCTCCATTCTGAAGGAAATCAGCCCTGAGTGCTCACTGGAAGGACAGATCCTGAAGCTGAGGCTCCAATACTTTGGCCACCTCATGAGAAGACTCCCTGGAGAAGACCCTGATGTTGGGAAAGATGGAGGGCACAAAGAGAAGGGGACGACATAGGACAAGATGGTTGGACAGTGTTCTCGAAGCTACCAGCATGAGTTTGACCAAACTGCGGCAGTGGAAGACAGGAGTGCCTGGCGTGCTCTGGTCCATGGGGTCATGAAGAGTCGGACACAACTAAACGACTAAACAACAACAGCAAGCTATCACCCATCCTGTCACCACCATGCCCTACAAGCAAAATAAGCTGCCCCACTAATTCTTTTGGGGGTGGAGGCAACAACTAAACGACTAAACAACAAAAGATAGCTAGCCCGTGTGGCTTGCCTGACTAGCTATGTGCAGTCATACAACCCTAAACTAAACAACAACAAACCACTGTTTCAAGGTGATTTGCGCATAAGCATAAACAGGTCAAAACGCAAAACCAACCAATGCATTTTAAAAACGCGACTCAAACTGTAACAGGTAGGCACACGCAGTAAAGACCATTTATCCAGCTGGGATTTGTCCAGCTGTAACCTCGACAGGGACACTACTCCACAAGTCAGGGGCAGCCACACTAAAGGCCCTGCTCTGATTAACTGCTGAGCGGGGTTCTGATATCTTTGGAACTTGCAGGAGACACTCTCCCGCAGACCGCAGTGATGAGAAGTAAGGATGTCTCCCAAGGAACCTGGTCCTGAGCTGTATATTTAGCACCAATGCCTTGATCTTGGCCAGTGTGAAGGCTGCATAGAATCAGATCCCTCCCATGGTGGCAGCCCAGAATTAGAGAAACGATAAAAGTTCTTGCTAAGCAATTTCTTCAATAATTCATAGCGAAAGACAAATGAATACAGCCTTCCCTAAAAATGGCATTGCTCCAAGTAGAGTCCCACCTCCCTTCGTCTCTCTTATCCTATGTCATCCCTGTGCCGGTTGGTCTGGTCTTTCTGTCTCTGAGCTTTCTGTTCACCTACTCTCACTGCACGTCTAGTCCTGGGGGAGGGCCCCCCAGAAATGTACTGACACCTTTGGTAAAGGCTGTTCTCCAATTGGAGCGCTCGCAGGCCAGTGTTTCCCAGTTGTTGGTGTTTATACTACATTTTTTAAAATTTGCCTTGAGAGAATCTTTGAACCTCTTTTGTTGACCACCAGCATTACGCTTTCCATTTTTAAGTTCGGAATAGAGTACAGTGGTACCTCGGGTTAAGTACTTAATTCGTTCCGGAGGTCCGTTCTTAACCTGAAACTGTTCTTAACCTGAAGCACCACTTTAGCTAATGGGGCCTCCTGCTGCTGCCGCGCCGCTGAAGCACGATTTCTGTTCTCATCTTGAAGCAAAGTTCTTAACCTGAAGCACTATTTCTGGGTTAGCGGAGTCTGTAACCTGAAGCGTATGTAACCTGAAGCGTATGTAACCCGAGGTACCACTGTAGCTGCTTTGGAAGACGATAATCAGGCATCCGCACAACATGACCAGTCCAACGAAGTTGATGTTGAGGAATCATCCTGGCAGGTTTAAAGTTCTTGTTTTAATTTACAAAGTCCTGAACAACTTAGGGCCACGGTGCCTCCAGGATTCCCTGAACCCTTATATCCCGGCTAAGTTGCTGAAATCATCTGCAGGGCCATTGATGTGCATTCCCCGAGTTGGCGAGGCTCGTTTGACAACAAGAAATGGAGGCTAGTCTTGTGGAATAGTCTGCCTAGAGCGATCCAGCAGGTTGCCTTCCTTTTCGACTTTTTAAACAGCTGCTGAAAATTATTCCACCAAGCCTATGCAGGCAATTAAGAATGCATCTTTCCACAATGCCTGATTTTTCTAACCTTTTTTGCATGTTTTTATGTGCTTTCCTTGTAAGCCACTTTGATGTGTTTTTATAAAATAGTGGAATATAACTTTTTAAACAAGTAAATAAAATAATCTCGGTGTTCCTCCTATTGTCGCTGCTGCTAGGGCTGCAACCCAGTTAAATAAATTGTAATCAACTAAGCAGGAGTGTTAGTCAATTAATTGATTGATCCGCCGATTAAGTGTGCATGTGCGTGAAAGCCATCTTCTGAAGGCAAGAAGCACGTTTCCTGTGTGTTTTGATGGCCTCTGTTTCTTGTAGAATGCAGGCTCTTAGAAAGAAGAAGAAGAAGAAGAGTTTGGATTTGATATCCCACTTTATCACTACCCTAAGGAGTCTCAAAGCGGCTAACATTCTCCTTTCCCTTCCTCTCCCACAACAAACACTCTATGAAGTGAGTGGGGCTGAGAGACTTCAGAGAAGTGTGACTAGCCCAAGGTCACCCAGCAGCTGCATGTGGAGGAGCGGGGAATCGAACCCTGTTCCCCAGATTACGAGTCTACCGCTCTTAACTACTACACCACACTGGCTCTCAGAGTTCCTCATGTGTAGTTGTTCAAGAGGTGTTCCTCATGTGTAGGGCGAACAGCAGTGCACCAGACGTATAACTTCAGTTCTTAGCAGCTTTGGGGGCGGCTGTCAAAGACTGGAGGGCTGCTGCCAGTCAGTGTAGGCTAGGAAGGAAGGGGAAATCTGTGGGATGGGAAGAAGTTTGGCTTGCTTTGTATTTTCATGTCGTTCTACCTACTTTCCTCCTCCTGAAACAAGACACTTAGTCAACTGCAGCTGTTCCTTGAACTGCTCTGAATGATGCAATCCAGCTCTCCAACCCCAAAAATGTGTGCATAGAGCATATTATTAGGGGAAAGACATACAACTCAAAGAATCATAGAATTGGAAGGGACCATGAGGGTCAACTAGTCCAACCCTCTGCAATGCAGGAATCTTTTGTCCAACATGGGGCTTGAACCCACAACTATGAGATTAGGAGTCTCGTGCTCTACCAACAGAGCTATCCCAGCTTCCCCACTTCATTGAGGTGAGTTGCTGGGAGTCTGAGCCCCAGATCTTTTGTTCTGAGGAACAGATTGCATGCCTCTTTCCCCTCCCTCCTGAAAAAAACCCCCCAATCTATTCTTCTGTGGGCCTATCTATCCATTTATAGGCACACTGCAAGGCTCAATGCTGTAAGACACACACACACCCAGGTCCACCCTGGTTTTATGCAAATTAATTTATGCAAATTTGTGCCATTGGCCTGTGCTCCCGGTCCCATCAGTGCTGCAGCAACGCCCCGCGGAATGGTTCAATCCACAACTCAATTAAACCGAGATGTCAGGAATATCCGCACCTCGCTCCCATCAACCAAAGAGGAAATACAAAATCTTGAAACAGTGCTTTCACCAAGTACTGGATCAGAGAGTCTTAATTCTGCAATTTGGGTGGAAAACAGGATTTGAAGGACACTGACATTCCCTCCATTTCAAACCTTGATGCTGAGAGCTGTGCTGGAAGCCACCATACTATCTATCTATCTATCTATCTATCTATCTATCTATGAATGAATGATTTCTTAGTTTGCAAAAATATGTGCATTGCCTCTTTGAGGTGGGCCAATGGTTGCCTGGGTGTCTGGAATTTCTCCAGTATCTGGAAAGCCTTTGCTGGGATAGCAGATGTGGTACCCTCCAGAAGTTGTTGAACTTTGAGTCCCATCATCCCTGACAATTGGATATAGTTGCTCGGTCTTATGGTAGTTGTAGTCCCACAGTATCTGGGTAGCTGAGTTCCAGGTCCCTGCAAATACCATATTTTTCACTCTATAAGACGCACCAGACCATAAGACACACCTAGTTTTGGGAGGAGGAAAACAAGAAAAAAAATATTCTGAATCTCAGAAGCCAGAACAGCAAGAGGGATTGCTGCGCAGTGAAAGCAGCGATCCCTCTTCCTGTTCTGGCTTCTGGGATAGCTGCGCAGCCTGCATTCACTCCATAAGACGCACACACATTTCCCCTTACTTTTTAGGAGGGAAAAAGTGAGTCTTATAGAGCAAAAAATACGGTATACAGTCGTACCTTGGAAGCTGAATGGATCCGTTCCGGAAGCCCATTCGACCTCCAAAACATTCAGAAACCGAGGCACAGCTTCCGATTGGCTGCGGGAAGCTCCTGCAGCCAATCAGAAGCCACAGAAACTGCGCTGGACATTCGGCTTCCAAAGAACGTTCACAAACCGAAACACTCATTTCTGGATTTGCAGTGTTCTGGAACTGAAATGTACGAGTGCCAAAGTGTTTGGCTTCCAAGGTATGACTGTACTACAAAAACCATGATGCAGAAAAACTGAGAGAGAGAAAGAACTCCCCACACTCACATGGAAACATCCAGTTAAAGTGAAGAATTTATAATATCAACAGATGCATTATTAGAAACTGCCAAAATCCATACCAGCAGATGGAACATCCCTGCTGTGTGTTCTGAGCACAGTTAGAACCAGTCTGTTCAATGTTTGATAGCAGAATTCCAGGAACTTCCTGTGTACCAAAAGGCAGTGGCAGAATACGGATAATGCAGAGAATCTTTTACGCTGCCTGACACAGGCCCCTGCGTGCGAGAGAAACTGACGATGCAACACACAGAAAGTTAGCTCCTCTGTGGCTAGTGAAACTGGGAAAGAAGTTTTAAAGTCCTGCTGTCTTGTTGCAGGGCGTAATATGAAACCGTAAATCTGCTGGCGACTCGTAAGGGCCCCAGGACTGCCGTGAAACTAAAGTGTTTCTAGTTATCAGAATATGGATTTACTCTGGGTGATTCTGGTAGTCAGGGAGGTGAAAACCTTATCAATTTATATGGCAAGTGCAGAGAACAATCTCCACTGTTTGCTCCACACCTGCCCCAAAGAAGAACGCAAACACACTCCTTGTGGTCTGAAGGCTTCTGCACTGGGCAGATCAATGCCTGGTTGGGAGATTGCCTGGAAGCCCTGGGTTCCTTGACAGAAGAACAGGGGATGCAGCGAGAAATGCAATTCCATTTGCATTTAAAGGCGAATCTACTCAATTCACAGGGACGCGGGTGGCGCTGTGAGTTAAACCACAGAGCCTAGGGCTTGCCGATCAGAAGGTTGGCGGTTCGAATCCCCGCGATGGGGTGAGCTCCCATTGCTCAGTCCCTTCTCCTGCCAACCTAGCAGATTGAAAGCACACCAGTGCAAGTAGGGGAAGGTAAACGGCGTTTCCGTGCGCTGCTCTGGTTCGCCAGAAGCGGCTTAGTCATGCTGGCCACATGACCCAGAAGCTGTACGCCGGCTCCCTCGGGCCAGTAAAGCGAGATGAGCGCCGCAACCCCAGAGTCGGCCACGACTGGACCTAATGGTCAGGGGTCCCCTTTACCTTTACTCAATTCACACTTTCTGAAACAGGACACAAACCCAAACTAGGGCTGCCATACGTCTGGAATTTCGTCAGAAATAGCGTCCGGATGGAATTTCCAAAAACCATGTTAATTTTTGTGTGAATTTCCTAAGAAACAGCTCCAAAACTTCAATATTTTTTTGGAGATTTCACACAAAAAAAGCTTAACAGCTCTCCCCCCCCCCAAAGCACTTTTGTGTCTAGATTTTCGGTTTTTGAAATATGGCGTCCCTACCGAAACACAAGTGTCTGTTTACACTTCCCAGAACTATGAGTGGTTTACCAATCTTTCCCCCTTCCTAGGGAACTCTGGGAATTATTTCTGTGTGAGGGAAACAGGGGCCTCCCGACAACTCCTTTCACAGATCCCAGAATCCTTTGGGGGAAGCCATAACCATGGCTGGCCCTACGATGGGGCAGAGTAAGGCAGTTGCCTCAGGCGGCAGATGCTGAGGTGCAGGAAGGGTATCCCCTACGTCAGCCTGCTGCCGTCAAGTGTCTTTCCACCGCTATTGAAGTCAGATTTAAAGTGTGCGGAGGAGGGCAACCAAGATGATCAAGGGTCTGGAAATCAAGCCTTGTGAGCAATGGTTGAAGGAGCTGGGTATGTTTAGCCTGGAAAAGAGGAGGCTGAGAAGCAATATAATAGCCATCTTCAAATATCCAGACCTGTCACATGGAGGATGGAGCAAGCTTGTTTTCTCCTGCTCCAGAGCGTAGGACTTGAACCAATGGCTTCAAGTTGCAAGACAGGAGATTCTGACTCAACACTGTGAGGGGAGAGACTCCATCAGGCAAGGCCTCCTTCCACCTGCCTTGCCCCACCATCTAGTCCCTGCTTCTCAATTTGTGTTGTATTATTTTATGTACTGTGGCTTGCCATTGTTTTATTGATTATAGCTTAGAAATTATTTATTGTAACTGTTGAGTGGATTTCTGTTTCACTTTTATATGTTGATATTGAGCCAGTGTGGTGTAGTGGTTAAGAGCAGTGGACTCTTGTACTCTGGTGAACCGGGTTCGCATCTCCGCTCCTCCACATGCAGCTGCTGGGTGACCTTGGGCCAGTCACACTTCTCTGAAGTCTCTCAGCCCCACTCACCTCACAGAGTGTTTGTTGTGGGGGAGGAAGGGAAAGGAGATGGTTAGCCGCACTGAGACTCCTTTGGGTAGTGATAAAGCAGGATATCAAATCCAGACTCTTCTTCTATTATTATTTTATACTATTCTAATGATTGTTGACTGTTGCTTTTTTGATGTAGGTTGCTTATTGTAAAGTTTTGTTTTATTATCACATTTTTGTATTGCATTAGATTGTTATAAGATGTACTTTTTTTGTTTCTTCAGCTTGTAAACCGCCTTGAGTATTGTAAGATAGAAAGACGGTATACAAATTAAAAATGATGGTGATGATGAACACCAGCAAGAACTTTCTGACAGTAAGAGCTGTTTGACAGTGGAACAGTCTCCCTTGGGAGGTTATGGACTCTCCTTCCTTGGAGGTTTTTAAGTGGAGGTTGGGTGGCCATCTGTCATGAATGCTTGAGTTGAGATTCCTTCATTTTGGGGGTTGGGTTGGACTAGATGACCCTCAAGATCAGGCATGGCCAAACTTGGCCCTCCAGATGTTTTGGAACTACAATTCCCATCATCCCTGACCACTGGCCCTGTTAGCTAGGGATGATGGGAGTTGTAGTCCCAAAACATCTGAAGGGCCAAGTTTGGCCATGCCTGATTTTGAGGGTCATCTAGTCAAGATCTCTTCCAACTCTACACTTCTACAATTCCACGAACTACCAACCAAATTGACTTATGTATGTTCCTTGGGCGAGGGCGCCATCTCGTCCTTCGCCTCGGGCAGCAAAACGTCTTGAGCTAGCCCCGGCCGTGACGGTTCAAAGCGGCACCACGGCACATCGAACCTACGGCGCGGGTGTGATTCAGCCCACTTCATCCTCGCAGTTTGGCGGGCCCCTGACCCCGCCTTGAGGAAATTGCCTCCAGAAAGAAGCCCACCGCTGCTGCAACCACCACGAATGCTTGGGCCCCCTTCTGACGCCGCCAACGACCTGCTCTTCATTTGCGCTTTCGCCTTGCCTCTCCCTCTCTCCGTCCAGCTCTGCCTGTTTAAATTGGAAATTATTTGCATTACCGACAGTAAATAATAGATGAGAGCCAGGAAGCGGTGTGGAGGGGAGCTCATGTCCCTTCCATAAACTGCTCCTTCCTTTAATTAGTGCGAAGCAACCTGGTGAGGATGTGAGTTGTCGTGATGCTGGTAATTAAAATTGAAACTACTGGTGGGAAGAGGGGAGGAAAGGAAGGGGTGGGTAGGAGGGAGAAAAACTCCACCCTGCATGCATATATATATATATATATATATATATATATATATATATTCTGTCTTTTGGCACTCTTGTTGGAAGCCGCCAAGCCTCTGGCCCCGCTCCGCAGTAAAGAGCGATAATGAAGGTGAGAATTCCTGGAGGGAGGAGGGGCAGCTGCCACCACGACGGCTGAACTTACACCAGACGAAAATGTACGGCCAATTAGAGGTGGCTGCGGCGAAGCCGGGTATCTGAGATTAGTTTGCACCTTGGGAACATGGCAGGAGAGGGACAGGGGAGTGGGCCATCCCCCACACCCCCTTTCCCCCTTGGAATGTGGGTGGGGGGAGGTGGTGGTGGTGGCGGAGAGAAGCTTTTTCTGCCCCCACCCTGGTTGGAAATGTCAAAGCAACGTCCTCGGATTGGCCTGTGGGGCTGGCTGCTCAAAGGAGGGGCGAACTTGAGGGCTGCTCTGCGGCAGAACGCGTGCTTGGCATGCAGAAGGTTCCAGGTTCAATCCAGGTAGGGCTGGGGAGAGATCCCAGAGAGCTGCTGTCTACGGCAGGCATAGGCAAACTCGGCCCTCCGGATGTTTTGTGCCTACAACTCCCATGATCCCTAGCTAACAGGACCAGTGGTCAGCAATGATGGGAATTATAGCCCCAAAACATCTGGGGGGCTGAGTTTGGGGATGCCTGGCATAGGCAGTCTGCCCTCCTCTGTTCCTCTCTCCCAATTAACCTCCATCTCCAGGGGCTGTCTCATGACATCACAAAAGACAGCCCCTAGGTCTCAGTTTGCCTATGCCTGGTCTAGGGTTACCAAACCTCCAGGTCTGGCCGGAAGTCTCCAGATTTGCTGTGGGCCCCTCCAGGTAGCAGAGGTGGGGCTTGGACCTTCAGGCAAGAGACAGCACTAATTATTATTATTATTATTATTATTATTATTACTGAAGGTGGCATGTGTGAGAAGACAGGCTCTGCTGGATCGAGAGGACAATATCAATATTGGGGCCAACGGCAAAGAAGGCGGTTTCTACATGTGCTGTAGAGAGACCTGAGGGGCAGATGGGGCTCATCCACCTGGGAAGGTAGAAGAGTTTGGATTTGATACCCCACTTTATCACTACCCTAAGGAGTCTCAAGGGACGTGGGTGGTGCTGTGGGTTAAACCACAGAGCCTAGGACTTGCCAATCAGAAGGTCGGCGGTTCGAATCCCCACGACGGGGTGAGCTCCCATTGCTCGGTCCCTGCCTCCTGCCCACCTAGCAGTTTGAAAGCACGTCAAAGTGCAAGTAGATAAATAAGTACTGCTCCGGCAGAAAGGTAAATGGCGTTTCTGTGCGCTGCTCTGGTTTGCCAGAAGCGGCTTAGTCATGCTGGCCACATGACCCGGGAGCTGTACGCTGGCTCCCTTGGCCAATAAAGCAAGATGAGTGCCGCAACCCCAGAGTCGGCCATGACTGGACCTAATGGTCAGGGGTCCCTTTACCTTTACCTTTAAGGAGTCTCAAAGCGGCTAACAATCTCCTTTTCCTTCCTCCCCCACAACAAACACTCTGTGAGGTGAGTGAGGCTGAGAGACTTCAGGGAAGTGTGACTAGCCCAAGGTCACCCAGCAGCTGCATGTGGAGGAGCGGGGAAGCGAACCCAGTTCACCAGATTACGAGTCTATCGCTCTTAACCACTACACCACACTGGCCATCTAGGAGAAGGAAAACTCTGATCCTAAACCTCTGCTGCCTTGCATGACATCTTCAGGAGAAGAAAAGGCTAAGGCATAAACCCTACACAAATCTGGAGCAGAGTCCCTAAGGCGGTTCGATGGCGCCTTGTACGCCTCCTTCTGGCAACTCCTGAAGCCCAGCTGGTGCCAAACGTCTTGCTCTGCTTTCCTTTGGACCGCACTAGTGAGGCCAAGAGGGAGGTTGCGTCGTCTGGGCAACCCAGGACCTCCAGACACACTGCCCAGGCTTATGGCCCAAGGAGGTCACTTCGGTGCGGCAGATGCAGCAATTTGGCTTCACCCTTGGAGGTGCACTCCATTGTCACTCGAAACAGATGGGGGACAACATTAAGAAGGCCATGCGTGCAGCTTGCAAGCTTCAGGTGGGCAACAGCCAGCTGCAAATTATAACATAGACACTCTGGGGGCAAGCTGCTCTCCTCCGCTCCACTCTCCCAATTAACCTCCGTCTCCAAAGCCCGCTCCCATGGCATCACCAGGTTCAGGGTACTCCGGGATGAAGATTGTGGCTCCTTCCATGCCTCTCTTGCTAGTCCTTGGGACTATCACCACACCCAACTTGTTGCTGGATCTTTTTGGAAGCCTCTCTCAGCATATGTGCCTGGGTGCCCTTGAACTTGAACTCTGGTGACCCCTCTTCCTTGCCTGGAAGGCTGTCCGTGTCTGTGCAATAAACCAGCCGAGGCAGAATTTGCATTTCTTGTCTCACCCACATTTGCTTCTGGCCCTTCCCAACTCTGGCATGTGGCCCTTGAGAAGCGTATGCGGCCTTCGGATTGAAGAAGGTCCCCCATCCTTGGTCTAGAGCAGGAATTTGCAAGCCAATACCTCTTAGTAATTACATTTTCATAGACCTCGAAACCGCTGCTTTCTTTTACCAGGAGAGGGAATAAAAGAACCACCTTAAGCTTTCACAGAGAGAGGGAGAGAGGGAGAAGAGAGGGAAAGTAATTTTATGAGAAGCCAACTTGTAACTAATTTAATGTTTACCCAATAACAAGGACTTCTTGGGGAAAGAAAAAGAAAAAAGCCTTACCTTTCCAGGAGCCGCAGGTAACACTGTCAATTCATAATTGTGCTGATCCCTTATTATCCTCCGCTTTAATAAATAATTTACCTAAATTATTAAAATGAAAATTTCAACATTATTAAAAATTAACCAGGTTAAATGAGCAAACAATAAATACGCCAGCTTTGTCCTGCGTGACAGGGGTCTGCGGGCTTTTTATTGCCTTTTTAACTCAAGCGCAAATAATACGCTTTCCTGTCTCCGTGTCTCTCTCCTTCAGAATCGCCTTTAGAGGCCACGGGTGACCCGTAAGACTCGAATCCGTGGCCCCGGGTTGGCTAAGGAGAAAGGCATTTCCGCCTCCTCCTCGGCCTGCTGGAAACCCCTCGTTCCTAGATCCAGTTACATCCCTTCCCTTAGATCCAGGCCTGATGAATAGCCGGCTGGACAGGGGTGAGGAAATAATGGTTTTCCAGATGTTCTTGGACTCTAGCTTCCCCCAGTCCCAGCCAGCATGGCCAGTGGTCAGAGATGATGGAAGCTGGTCCATCAGGCTTTGTTGGACCCAGCAGCCTGTACAACTTAGGTCCAGGCTGTCTCAAGGACCGTATTGTCCCATATGAGCCTGCCCGGGCTCTGAGATCTTTGGGGAAGGCCCTTCTCTCCATCCCCCCATCCTCCCAGGTATGTGTGGTGGTGACCCAGGACAGGGCCTTCTTGGTGGCTGCTCCCAGACTCTGGAACTCCCTCCCTAGAGAAGCTAGACTGGCTCCCTCCTTGCTGCCCTTTCATTGGCTGTCTTATTCTGATAGGCTTCTGGGAACGGACTCTTTTTCTAAGGGATGGGCTTTTAAATAGGGCTGTGCTGTTTATATTATCGGATGTGTGTGTATGTTATTGGGTTGTTGTTTTTATTTTATTAGGTATTTTGTGGTTTTATATCTTGATTTTTTTCTGTGAACTGTCCTGAGACCCCACGGGTATAGGGCGGTATATAACTTCAATAAATAATAATAATAATGTATTTTAACAGATTTGTGTTTTTATATTGTTTTGATTCTGTTAAAACTGCTTTTTAACTATTATCTGTTTGTGGCCTTCTGTATCATACCTGTGCTGTTTTAATTTGGTGCTAGACACATGAAGTATTATTAATAATAATAATCAGTGGTGTTTTTTCTGGGGGTACTCAAGGCTACACTGTACCAGGTGTTGTTGTTGTTGTTGTTTAGTCATTTAGTCGTGTCCGACTCTTCGTGATTCCCTGGACCAGCGCATGCCAGGCACTCCTGTCTTCCACTGCCTCCCGCAGTTTGGTCAAACTCATGCTGGTAGCTTCGAGAACAATGTCCAACCATCTCGTCCTCTGTCGTCCCCTTCTCCTTGTGCCCTCCATCTTTCCCAACATCAGGGTCTTTTCCAGGGAGTCTTCTCCTCTCATGAGGTGGCCAAAGTACTGGAGCCTCAGCTTCAGGATTTGTCCTTCCAGTGAGCACTCAGGGCTGATTTCCTTCAGAAGGGATAGGTTTGATCTTCTTGCAGTCCGTGGGACTCTCAAGAGTCTCCTCCAGCACCACAGTTCAAAAGCATCAATTCTTCGGCGATCAGCCTTCTTTATGGTCCAGCTCTCACTTCCCTACATCACTACTGGGAAAACCATAGCTTTAACTATACGGACCTTCACTGTACTAGTAAAAGTAAAGGTAATGGGACCCCTGACCATTAGGTCCAGTCGTGACCAACTCTGGCGTTGCGGTGCTCATCTCGCTTTATTGGCCGAGGGAGCCGGCGTACAGCTTCCAGGTCATGTGGCCAGCATGACTAAGCTGCTTCTAGCGAACCAGAAAACGCCGTTTACCTTCCTGCCGGAGCGGTACCTATTTATCTACTTGCACTTTGACGGGCTTTCAAACTGCTAGGTTGGCAGGAGCAGGGACCGAGCAACGGGAGCTCACCCCATCGCGGGGATTCGAACCGCCGACCTTCTGATCGGCAACTCCTAGGCTCTGTGGTTTAACCCACAGCACCCCCCGCGTCCCCACCCCCCAAATGTTAAAATCGTTGCACTTACTGTAACAACTTCATAGTGAGGGGTGAGTGATCTTGTGTTTGGGTCCTTCTTGTGGGTTCCCCTCGGGCAACTTGTTGGCCCCTGTGAGATGCTGGACTAGAAGGGCTATGGGCCTGATCCACAGGCTCTTTTTATGTTCTTATGTCCATAAAGTCTTTGAACAAAAATGGCACTGCAAAACATTTTTGCGCTTTTCTGTGTGCACCTTAGAAAACTGATGGAGAGGTGGGCTAAGCAGGCTACGATTTGAAAGCATTCTCCATTTAAAGAGCTGTCATGTCCAAGTTTGAGAAAGAACATAAGAACTTAAGGAGATCCTGCAGCTGGATCAGGCCAAAGGCCATTGAGTTCAGTATCCTGGTTCTTATCATGGCTGACCAGATGCCTATAGAAAACCAGCAAGCAGGATTCGAACACAAGAGCCCTTTCTCCTCCTATGGTTTCCAGCAACTGGTATTCAGAAGAAGCATTGCCTCTGTCTTTGCAAGCATAGCTCAACCATCATGTTTAGCAGCTGTCAATAGTCCTCTCCTCCAGGAATACCGTATTGGCCTGAATATAAGCCGCACCCCAAATAAGCCACACCTTTAAAATTGAAGGGGGGGGAGACAATACCCGGGCTGCTTCCTGGGGGTGGGGTGGGGTGCCGCGCCACTTTGCCAGTGGCATAAGGTCGTGAATATAAGCCGCACTTTAATTTTTCACTGTCAGAATTTTTTTTTGGGGGGGGAAGTGTGGCTGATATTCGGGCCAATACGGTATGTCCAATCAGAGGTGTTTTTTGTTAAGTTGTGGGTGAGCATATCAGACGACACAGTGATTCTTCAAACAGCTCTTGTTTATGCACAGACCCAGAATAGAACTGGGCTGAAGGGTTCAGCCAACCTGCTTATATAGAGCTCAACTACAAAGCAACAGTAACAACTTTCTGTAACTATCCAATCACTGAACGTCACTTTCAATTCCTTATTTGCATATGTGGACCTGAGTGAAAACTATCTACAGTATCCCCCTGCTGGCCCAGGGTGAGAACTTCAGTACATAACAGTTTTAGGGTAGCCAATCAGTGCAGCTACACTGGATGACACACTGCAGGGTGTGGGGACAGTCCATAACAATGCTGAAGAGTGGAGTCTGAGAGGCGCGGGGCCAAGTTTTAGCACTGCACAGGGCCCTGCTGAAAATTGAGAGGCCCACCTCCGCCACCTGTCCAATCCTCTTCTGAAGCTATAGAAGTTGATAGCCCTCCCCAAGTCCCATCATTTATGCATCACAGTTCAAAGATAATGAACCTTCCTAGGAGCCTTGTACTTATGGGACCGCCTCTCCTGGTATGTCCCGCAGAGGACCTTAAGGTCCATGAATAAGAATAGCTTAAAGGTCCCAGGCCCTAAGGAAGTCAGACTATCCTCCACCAGCACCAGGGCCTTCTCAGTGATGGCTCCGACCTAGTGGACTGCTCTGTCCTACGAGACTAGGGCCCTACAGGACTTGATCTTTTTCTACGAGGCCTGTAAGACTGAGCTATTCCGCCTGGCCTTCCATTGAATTAGCCTGATCCTCTGTTCCCTTTTCCCCTTTCCTCTTCTATGAAGAAACCCTTTCTGGGACCCAACATTTAAATTATTCCCTGTTCTCCTTGCTGGCCCTAGCAGGACCTTTACCTTTATTATTATTATTATTATTATTATTATTATTAGTATTAGTGCAGAAGTGGTCAGGCTACTCGAAATGGGTTGCTAAGAAAAATTATTTCTGTCAGCTGAAAAGTAAGGATCTTTACAATTTTATAATATGCAGAGAATAACAAGTGTTGAAAAAAACAGAGAGAGGAGCTGAGGGATGTCTGGGGGGGTCTTTTTTGGGGAGGGGGAGGGAAAAAATGGGGGGGAATGAGGATGATAAATTGTTACGTTGAAATTCCTAATATATATATTTTTTAAGTCCCTGGTCGTAGCTTGGGTATAAACAGGTCTACTTTAGTACCATTCCTTTTTAGTGGGATTCTTCCTTCCTTCCTCCCTCCCTCCGTCTCTTTCTCCCCTTCCGTCCTCCCCCCCCCCATGCCCCAATTAGCTTCCCTCCTCCCTGCAATGTATGTGACATTATCAGAGATGCGGCAATTTCGCTTGTAATTAAATTGTTATACTAAGCACCCCACCTCCGATATGTTGGGAGTCTGTGTACCCTCCCAGGCCCCGTTAGTGTTGGACCCCCCCTCCTTGATCCACGAACACCACTCCCATTTGATATCAATAGGATATAGATCCGAGAGCGCAGGGGGTCCCTGAAGAGAACACAGTCTGCCGGTACTTCAGAATACAAACAGCTTCTATTCATACAAAATTCATTAAAGCCTGCTGCTCTTGAAGGGATGCGACGCCGTCATTTCTAATTGAAAGATCTGGTTTCAAAGATGCTTTATCTTCCTCGCTACACCTCTTGCCAGATAATGTGTGTGCGGGAGAGAGCGAGTGCGGGCAAATTTCCCGTTATCTCTAAAAGGGCCTGTTTCCCTACATTATGTTGCCATGGAGGGCTGGTTCACACAGGGCGACGTTCCTCACTTGAGGACCGCAGCGTCAAGTGATGACTTTCATGTGTGAGTGGGTTGCCGTGAATATAATTTAATATCTGGTGCACAGGATGAGACCCTACCTGCCAGTGGACTGTCTCGCCAGAGTGGTGCATGCTCTGGTTATCTCCTGCTTGGACTACTGCAATGTGCTCTACTTGGGGCTACCTTTGAAGGTGACCCGGAAACTGCAACTAATTTGATATTTGATATTTGAAGATAGTGTCCTCTGTCTCCTCTTCTCCAGGCTAAACATACCCAGCTCCTTCAACTGTTCCTCATGGGCCTTGGTTTCCAGAGCTTTTGTTATATTTTATCACGCTTGGGTTATCTCCCGCTTGGACTACTGCAATGCGCTCTATGTGGGGCTACCTTTGAAGGTGACCCGGAAACTGCAACTAATCCAGAATGCGGCAGCTAGACTGGGGACTGGGAGCGGCCGCCAAGACCACATAACACCGGTCCTGAAAGACCTATATTGGCTCCCAGTATGTTTCCAAGCAGAATTCAGACTGTTGGTGCTGACCTTGAAAGCCCTAAATGGCTTCAGCCCAGTATACATGAAGGAGCGCCTCCACCCCCATTGTTCAGCCT